TAATTTTGCTTTTCTTTGTTCCCCATGACATTTGTCTCCAAATGAAAAACAGTAAAAACTGCGCCTATTTTTACATCAAAATTCGAAAGTCCCTAGAAATAATATCAAAAGTACTTTGTATATCAGGTAAATTCTGGCTAAATTCAATTAGTAAAATTAATATAAGATTTTATTTTTAATAAAAATGAAGTAGTGGAGGGGTTGTCTAAGCAGACATTCAGTGGAATACAAAGCCCATAACTACAAAGAGATGAGTCAAGAAGTGTACTGGTAAAATTCATAATCTTATGCAAGTTGGAAAAAGTACAATTTAGAGAGATGTAACATTCATGCCACCAACTATTGAACTCAAATGATGCTTTCTTGTTGGAGCAAAGGAAACAATTACTTTTCTTTTTTTAGCTAGAAACACAAAAGCACCTTCAGGAGAAGTATTGAAATCAAACAGTAATTTCAAATTGTAATGCCCTTCACTTAAAGAATTTTTGCCACATGCTCATTCATTTTCAGAATATAGTTGGAGTTTATCTTCTTCATTCTATAATTCCTTTCCTGTAAAGAAACTTCTACCAAATGTATTGGGATGTCATAGCTGCTGATCAGTGAAGTAGGGTAAAATTCTCCTCGGTACCTAATAGGCTAAGTGATGACGATCAAGTTAGGAGGCTGGAAGGCAGAATTAACACCACACACCGTCCTTTAAGGGTTCTAATAAAAGCAACCCATCTTGAATTCATGGCTAATAAATTTAATTAGATAGAGTCTAATACGTAAAATTAATTTAGTCATGAAGTCTGCCAAATCTTGTCTTTCCTATGCAAAAAGAGGTTATTCTATCAATGTGCAGCTCTGTGTGTCTAAATCAGAAGTTTAATTTTTTATCTATATCTTCTAATAAACATACTCTTTATTTCATGGATTCTACCTATAGTTTTTTATTCTCTTATACTGACTGCAATTTTCCCTCCCTCCACTTCTCCCAACTGCCTGAACGCCCTCTCCCTCACATCCACCTCATTTCCCTTCAGAAAATAACAGGTCTTTGAGGGATATTGACTTAACACTGCATAACAAGTTATAATAAGATTAGGCACAATTAAAACATATAGAAAAACACAGGGTCCTGACTTTTGATGCACGAGGCAACAATAAACATTTGGCTTCCATAATTTAACCCAATCCTGAAAATATAAATTCTTTATTTTTAAAAATTTTTAGAGATTTTAACAATGAGGAGTTTCATCATTCAGAAATTTTTTCGTTGATTATTCAATTTGGTTTTCTGTTTATACAGAAAAAGGTTAATGTTAGCTTTTTGCTGTTATCATCAGCTTCCAATCTTGTCAATAGTTACCTAATAAGGATATCATGAAGTACATTTGTAAAATAATATGTGTCATCTCTCTCTCTCTCTCTCTCTCTCTCTCTCTCTCACACACACACACACACACACACACACACACACACACACACACACGACCCATCTGTAGTCCACGGATGACTCTCAATGCAGCACAACTTTTTCTTATAGGTTAAAAGAATTGGCTGTGATGCTTTGATTGCCTTCCTCACCTCCCCATAATATTTGCAGACCTTCTATTCCCTCTTCTTGTCTCAGATCAACATTTTAATGCATTTGTTTTATTTATGATTCCATATATGAGAGAGAATATATATGTAATTGTCTTTCTGTGTCTATCTTATTCATTTTGATAATATCTTCCATTTCATCTGCTTTGCTGTAAATAAAAGCATTTCACCTTTTTTTTTGGTTTTATGAGACAGGGTTTTTCTGTATTGTTTTGGAGGCTGTCTGTCCAGCCTGGCCTCGAACTCACAGAGATCCACCTGCCTCTGCCTCCAGAGTGCTGGGATTAAAGGCGTGCACCACCACTGCCTGGCCATTTCATCTTCTTTATAGGTGAATAATACTTCTCTGTTTATGCATATAAATAATACTTTATTGCTTAATCTATTGATGTACATCTTGGATGATTTATTATCTTCACTACCATGAGTAGTGCCACAATAATTGTGGGTATTCAGATAGTTTCCCCATTATTTATGTTATGGAAAATTTCAAACTATTGATTATTCATTTACATTTTTTGAGAAATGTTCTTTCAGATTACGTTTTCCATTTTAATTATGTTATTTGTATTTTTGTTAAATTTTTGTTTTACTTTTTGTTGTTGTTGTTCTTTTTATATTCTGAAACTTGGGTCTCTGAACGATGATGATAACAACCTTTTATCCTGTGCCATAGGTTGAATCTTTATTCTTTAACAGACTTTTAAATATCTTCATTCTTTTAGTATTATATCATCTAGAATACAGTTTAGATAGGCAGTTAGGATTCTCATTATTTCTACAGTGATTAGTTTTTCTTTTTCTTTTAAATAAACAGAGATAAGTAACATCCACTTTAAATATATATATATGTATATATACAATTTGTCATATATATTAAACTAATACTGATACTTCAAATTTAAATTTGATACTCACTTTTGCTTGAGTTCACTGTTTTTAATTTGTTTCTATTAAGACATAATATTTTCTCAAGATACATACATAAAAGGCTTTTATCTGTCTCACCAATATATTCATTAGACATAGTGAAGTTACAAAGATATCATTTTGTGGTCTTCTTGCTTCGTTGAAATGATTAATTACTGGTTATTCTTCTTACCCTTCCTACAAGACAAGAAGGACTCGGTTATTGGTGCTTTCCTAGAATTTACACTTGGTTGTTACTACTGGTGTCATCTGGAAGTCATGGTGACTTTGAAACTGTGAGATGGAAAAGGGAGGGCCTTACCTTCCTAAACTCTTCCTATTCTATTCTTTGCATATTCTACCAACTCCTTCTTATAATTATTCTGCCTCATTTTGTGTATAAGCCAGTTAACTGTTATAATTTTTATGGTTAAATTTATAAAGAAAAACAACTCAAATATAATAAAACATTAAGAATAGATTCTAATTGCTTTGCACAGGCAAAGAGAATGGCCTTGATATTTCTTAGAAAATTTTCAATTAGTCACTATTGTAGTGTGAATTCGTATTAGATGAGACATAGGAAGAAGTAGGCTGTTCCTTTAAGCTTATAGTAACTATAATGGTGAAACTATGTTTCTTAAAATATGAACTAAAAGTTTTTCTGCAATTAGTTCTCAACCCATGGCTTTATTTCCTTAATGTAGTATACATTAGAATTGACGAATCTAGGCAAGATGTTCCATTCAGTCACCCCAGGCTCATTATTTTGATGTTAAGATGGTTTTTCTTTTTGGGTGGTTTTGAATTAGCAATTATACAACCAAGGATAATGATTGCTGTTTAATGTTAGGGGCCATCATTATGAAATTAACAATCTGTTTCACTGCTTTGCTGTTGAGCACTCTGCTTCATTTCTTGAGGGAGAAAATAAAATCACAGTGTGCCCAATACTTTTTTGTCTTCCACAGTGTATTTTCTTTTCATAGCAAAGAAAAAGTGCATTGGCATAACCTAACTCAATTTTTAACTTTCTGGTAGTTACACATTTAGTACTGACCTAAGAATGCTCTTTAGTATGCTTTCATTATGTTGAGCTTTCTTCATGACACTCTGGAAACCTGGAGCTGTATCATATGACAGGAAAATAACAGAGTAGGTGGTCTTCTTGTTGCCACTGGTGTGTCTTTTGACCTTGTTTTATGAAGTGAAATTGAGCTCTAGATTTTTCTTTGCAGAAAAATGATGGAAGTAGGTTTACTGACTTTACAGGTAAGCTACACTATTTCAACTATTTATATTGATAGTTTAGGTAACAACTATTGTTTTCCCTGACACTAAAAGAAAAATACCCATGATTTCAAAATTAGTAGTTCACATTATCTCTCCAGTCCTTAGTAGCATCATGAAATTCTTCAAAACATTCATTGTGTTACCCCAAAGGCCACGACTTAAAATTAACTCAAAATAATTATCCAGAAGTGGTACTATAATAGTGAGGGTACCACACAATGGAAATAAGAATCAGAAACATTTTCTTTTATTAGAGGATCAAATTGTATCAAAATGGAATTCTCATTTTGGAATTTAGGACAGATACCTGTAAAAGTCTCTTCTCAGTTGCCAGATGGTATAATCTCAGTACCAAGCAAAAGTACCTCTTTCTTAAAATGATCAATTTTGGGAAATTTTATCTCATTTGAATAAAAATTTTAAACTATTCTTTGTTTTATTCATTTAAAAGTGTATGTTAATTAATTTGATTTAATCATCCAAAATGTACATACATATATATTAAAAAACGCACACTGGGGGCTGGAGAGATGGCTCAGAGGTTAAGAGCACTGACTGCTGTTCCAGGGGTCCTGAGTTCAATTTCCAGCAACCACATGGTGGCTCACAACCATTTACAATTCAATCTGGTCCCCTCTTCTGGCATGTAGGCAGAGCACTGTATATGTGATAAATAAATAAATCTTAAAACCAAACAAAACAAAAACATTATAACCATTTAAAAAACCTCACATTGTACCCATGAATAGATGCAATTATTATTTGACAATTAAATTTAAAATAAGTAAGTAATAATAAAGAGTAATCTTGAAAAGAAAGTATCCTTCCTGCTATGGTTTTTGCCACTCCTAGGAATTGAAAGAAATTTTTGTATGATGGTATGATCAATACGTTTTATTGGATATGTGCAATAATTATTCAACTTTTCTTTCTTCTGCATGGGCATGTTTGAGGATTTAAACAAAAAAGAAAATCTTCCTTCAAATAGTTCAGAAGTTTGTGGTTATAGCTCACATAGCTAATGGGAAAGTTGGTGGTTCTGTGTGGTACTTGGAGGTGAAGATACAGCAGTGGCACCATGTGAAGCAGATAACTTTATAATCTTTAGAGTACAACACGGAGTATGTGGTGATAAGGGGGATATGAGATGTTTTTCTGTGCACCAATTTTGGATGAGTTGTAACTGTGGAATTCATTTATGTCAACAGATACAGAAAACCATATTATTATCAAATGAATGAAAGCATGGAACTCTGGAAAAGAAAGGCAATGCAATCTGTGAGGACAATCCAGGTAAGGGCAGCTTGTTTCACCAATAGATTTGAGGGATCAGCCTTAGGGCGTGGCTTCAGTGTGTGGATATGATACCTTATAAGAAAGAGGTAGGGCCTCACTCTTTCTCTTGGGTGGAGTTCTGAGCATCCTGCATCTCAGTATCCTGAGGCAGAAGACCACAGCAGCTATTAACCTTCATTGTGTGAGTACTTCACAAATAAATATCTATAATTATTTTATTTGGATGTTCGTGGACTTCCTTAATCAGCCCTCACAATTGCATTTATATTGGGTCAAAAAACATATCTTAGGAATTAATTTAACCAGACAGGAAAAATGTTCATACAATGGAAGCTATAAAACGCTGAAGACACAAATTGAAGAAGACTGAAACAAGCAAGAAAACAGCTTGTGTGCACATCTCAGAATAATTATCATTGCAACATGTCCATGCTATCTTGTGTGACCTACCATGTTTCTTCAACATTTACAACAACCTCAATGACATATTTTCCACTAAAATAGAAAAAATAATTAAAATAATTATAGACACTCAAAAGCTCCTAGAACCCTAGGCTTTCTTGTGTTCAATGAACAAAGCTGGACATTATAGTGTCTGATCTCAAACTCTACCGAGTTATTATTGGAAATCCAAGAAGAATGGAACCATTACAGCACAATTCATAGCAATGAAACATTACAGAACCCAGGAATAAATATACTTGTTTACATACTTGCAACACACAGTGGCATAGGATATATACCCCATTCCAATAGGGTGGAAGTGGGCAAGAGGAAAGACATATTTTACAGAGGGTTGCAAGTAAGAGATTGTCTCAAATCTCCAAAGAGACTTTAGAGTTTCAGAAAGAGTTGATAGTGTGAAAGACTATGGAGACTTTTGAAATTGGTTACTTGAATTTTGCCCTGTGGCATGACCATGTGCCTATGGGAGCCAGAGAATAGATCATGATCATTTGAATAAACAAATCTGTATTAGAGGTTCACATACTTGAACACTTGGTACTGTTTAGGGAGGTTTCATGGAGGTTAAGTTTTGTTGGAGGAGGTATGTCAATGGGACAATCTTTGAGAGGTCATAGCCCTATCTCAATTCAAATTCACTATCTGCTTCCTGTATGAGGATGGACTTGTGATTTCTAAGTGTCTTGATCCTGCTACCATGACTGAGACTTGTTATTATATATCCCTGCTATGTTGGACTCTTGTCCATCTTGAAACAAAAGTCAAACTAAACTCTTTCTTAAGTTACTTTTGCTCCTGGTGTTTTGTTGCAACAACAGAAGGGTAATTAAGAGAGCATTCTTTAAAGGAGTAAACATTGTCTTACATGAAACTATATATAACATAGTTGCTTAGTGAACCAAGCCAGGCACAGAGTGCTGAACAGTATTTAAATGAATTTATTTATTAAATCTAAGAGGCTCTAAATCACAGAGGCAGAAAGTAGAATAATTAATTAAAGGAGCAGGAGAGAGGTAAAGTTGGGGAGAACTTTGGTCAAAGAAAGCAGAAGTTAAGTTACAGGGGAGAAAGAATTTGAAGTCATTTACTATGTAACACAATAGCTGTCCTTAACCACAGAATGCTGTGTACATGGCAGGGCTAAGTAGCATAGTTAAATTATCTTGATATACAAGTTGCCAGGAAATAGACATTCTATATATGTTGATTTATCCACCCTTCTCTGATACAGGCATTATAATATTTTGTATGACACACACACACACACACAATTAACTAAGGGTTGCTTAAAAGTTATTTATTTGTAATGATGTAAAAGGCCAAATACAAAAATGTAAACCTCTCCTCTCAGATTTCAGGGAATCCCATGAAGGTTACAAGAGCCAAAGGAGATGGAGGACACCAGGAGAACAAAGCCCTCTGAACCAACTAAGCAAGGTGCCCATGAACTCACAGAGTCTGAAGTAGCAAGCAGATGACCTGCATGGTCTGCACCATGTGCTCTATGTGTATATCATAGCTATTGGCTTAGCACTTTTATGGGAATCCTTATTGTGAGAACAAGTTGGTCTCAAACTTTTGTCCTTGCTCTTGGGACTATTTTCCTCCGGTTGGGTTGCTGTGTCCAACTTCATTATGAATAATTTTGCTTCATCTTATATTTTATTTTTGTTGTGTTTGGTTCTTATCTCCCAGAAGATCATTATTTTTCAAATGAGAGACAGAAAGGGAGTGGAAATGGAGTAAAGGTGGTGAGTAACTGGGAGGAGTAGAGGGAGGGCAAACTGAAACCAGGATATAATGTGTGGAAAAAGAATCTATTTTCAATAAAAGGAAAAGAGAAAAAGAAAAAAACACCATGGTAATTGTACCCTGGCAAAAAGAGTTTGGCAATGAACCTACTGCTTCTCTTGTGTGGAACAATTTGAGGGGTAACAGAAGTAGCTCTTCTTTGAATTTCTGGGAGAATACTGCACTGAAGCCATATGGACCTGGGCTTTATTTTTGGTTGGGAGCATTTTGATGACTGCTGCTATTTCAGTAGGGGTTATAGGTCTGTTTATATTGCTTATCTGTTCTTGGTTTAATTTTGGTTAGTGATATCTATCCAGAAAATTGTCCATTTCCATTAAATTTTCGAATTTTGTGGAGTACATGTTTTCAAAGTATGACCTGAAGATTCTCTGGCTTTCTTCAGTGTCCATTGTTATGTCCCCCTTTTCATTCCTGATTTTGTTAATTTGCATGTTCTCTCTCTGTCTTTTGGTAAGTTTGGATAAAGGTTTGTCTGTCTTGTTGATTTCCTCAAAGAACCAACTCTTTGTTACATTGATTCTTTGTATTGTTTTTTTTTTGTTTCTACTTTATTGATTTTAGCCCTCAATTTGATTATTTCCTGGCATCTTCTACTCCTGGGTGAGTGTGCTTCCTTTTGTTCTAGAGCTTTCAGTAGCGCTGTTAATTTTCCAGTTAATGTGACTATTCTCCAGTTTCTTCATATGACCACTTAGGGCGATGAACTTTCCTTTTAGCACTGCTTTTAAAGTGTCCCCCGAGTTTGGGTATGTTGTGTCTTCATTCTCATTGAATTATAGGAAGTCTTTAATTTCTTTCTCTCTTTCTTCCTTCCTTTTTTCCATTCTTTCTTTCTTGACTCAGAAATGGTGCAATTGCGTGTTGTTCAATTTCCATGAGTTTGTAGGCTTTCTGTAATTTGTGTTGTTGTTGAATTTTAACTTTAAAGCATGGTGGTCTGATAAGATACAGGGAGTTATTCTAAAATTTTTTGTACCTGTTGAGGTTAGCTATGCTGCCAAGTATGTGGTCAATTTTAGAGAAGGTATTCTTTTGTGTTTGGATGGAATGTTCTATACATGTCTGTTAAATCCAATTGGGTCAAAACTTCTGTAAGTTCCTTTGTTTCCTTGGTATCTAAGCTACACAAAGACACAACTAAGAAAGGGAACTACAGACCAATATCCCTCATGAATACTGATGAAAAATACTCAATAACATCCTAACAAATCATGAAACAAGTCTCCAAAACACTAAAGGATCCGATTAAAAAGTGGGGTACAGAACTAAATAGAGAATTCTCATGAGAGTAGTCCAAAATGACTGAGAGACACTTGAGAAAGTGCTCAATGTCCTTAGCTATCAGGGAAATGCAAATCATACAACTCTGAGATACCATCTCACTCCTGTCAGAATGGATAAAATAAAATCAACAATGACAATTTATGCTGGATAGAGGGGAGCACTCCTCCATTGCTAGTGGGAGTGCAAACTCATACAATCACTTTGAAAATCAGTATTGAGATTGGAAATGGGAAATCAGTCTACCACATGATCCAGCAATTCCACTCTTAGGCATATACCCAAAAGATGCACATTCTTACATCAAGGACATCTGTTCCACTATGTTCATAGCAGTGTTATTTGTAATAACTAGAACCTGGAAACAAGCTAGATGACCCTTAACTGAAGAGTGGATAGAGAAAATGTGGTACATTTACACAATGGAGTACTACTCCAGAAGAAAAAAAATCCAATGGAATTTGGAAATTTGCAAGCAAATGATGACAATAGAAGAAACCATCCTAAGTGAGGTAACCCAGTCACAAAAAGATAAACACGGTATGCACTCACTAATATATGGATTTTAGAGATGAAACAGTGGAGTGCCAGCCTACAATCCCATCACCATAGAGTCTGGGAAACATGCAGGACCCTAAGAGAGATATGCATGGTACCCCATAGAAGGGGAATGGGACAGGATTTCCCGAGGGGAATAGGAGCATGGGGGGAGGTTAGAGAGAACTGGGAGAAAGAGAGGGGTCAAAGAGGAAGGGAGAGGAGGACATGGGGGAGCAAGAAGGTTGAATCGGTGAAAGAATAGAGGAGAGCAGGGTGAGAAATACCATAATAGAGGGAGCCACTATAGGTTTGAGGAGAGATCTGGCACTAGTGAGATTTCCAGAGATCTACAACGATGACACCAATTGACAATCTAACCAATAGTGGAAAGGCTACCACAAATGTCCTTCTCTGATAATGTGACTGATGACTATCTTGCAAGTCATCCTAGAGCCTTCACCAAGTGGCTGAAGGAAGCAGAGGCAGACACCCACAGCTAAACACTGAACTGAACTCCTGGAAACAGTTGCAGAGAGGGAGGAGCGATGAGCAAAGGGGTCTGGGCTGGTGAAACCCACAGGAACAGGTGACCTGAGCAAGGGGGAGCTCATGGACCCCAGAGTGATAGATACCAGCATAAGATCCAGATCCCCTGAACATGGGTGTCAGTGAGGAGGTTTCAGCATTCGTTGGGGCCTCAGGCAGTAGATCAGTATTCATCCCTGGCATCCAAATGGACTTTGGGAGCCCATACCACATGGAACCATGCTCTCTCAGCCTGAACACATTGGGGAAGAGTATAACTCTTGCCCAGGAATAATATGACAGACTTTGGAGATCCCCCCTGTAGGGACTCACTCTCCCTGGAGAGTGGAGTTGGGATTGGGTGGGGGGTTGAGGCAGTTGGGGTCAGAGGCCTTGGGGAGTGAGAGGGAGCTGGGATTGACATATAAAGCAAGCCTGTTTCTAATTTAAATAAAAAAACGGGTATTAAAAAAAAACTAAAACACACCATTAGGGAGAAAAAGTAGCCAATATTCATACTTAACCAGACTTCACAGATATTAAATCGAAATTACCATAGTTTTGATATTGTTTGGTCTTGGGGGGATGAGCTATCAGTGAAGGCTTGAAGAGTACTCATAGTTTATGTTCTACCACTATCCGAGAGCTAGAAAGGGTTTGGAAAAAGTAAGATTGAAATCTGTAGAGACCCTGATGTAATTTTTTGATGTCTTATTTGGGGACCAGCAGTGTGTTTGAGGGGCAGATATGTTTCTTCTTTCAGCAGATTTGAACTATTCATGAAATATTGGATTCAAGATCTAACATTCCCCAAGGAGACCAATGTTAAATATTTGAATTTGAAAGTGGAACCAGAAATAGCCAACTTTTATCCTTCTGGAAATTTCTTAAGTCATCCTAAAACAATTACTGTTTGTGGGCTGAAATTAGGTAAATATTCTTTAAATAGAGAACAAAGTTGCAATTCACAGTGATACATTAAAAAATCCACCAAAGAAAGAGTGAAAATATGATAAACACGAAAGTAAAGATATTTTGTAATATATTCAATATAAAATGTACACACACACACACACACATATATATATATATGCATGCATTTGAATCCTTCATAGCTGCACATAAAAGGAGTCTTTGTTTAACCAAGAGATATTGGTGGGGCCAGAGAAGCAAAACGAGACTGAAAGAACTGAACTGTGTCTTCACACAGTGTAACACACAGCACCTACCAAACCACTGGATAGGTTTAGCAGATGTCAGTAGGATGATGTAATTAGAAATCATAGCATATACTCTGAATGACTTACTTGTAACTGGTTCAGAAATGGAAGCTCTCAGCATGGACAGCCCATGTCTTTAGGCCATATGCTCCTCATATTTTTCTTTGGCTTCTTTTATTTTTATTTTTTTGCCAAAACTGTGCCATATTCTGTAGCTTCTTCCTTATTTTGTTGGTGCATTGTTTATTCAGAAAAACATGTAAGTATCCATGTTGCACCTAGTGAAAGCAAGTGATGTTGAACCAAGGGGCTTTGGTCCTGGTTTTCTTATCTTCTTTGTTTAAGGGATTTCTGACAACATATTGGCAATTTAGTGAGACTAAAAGGTTTGAGAATTCTGAGAGCTCTTTTGGACCCCAACTCCAGGTGTACAGTAGTAGCTTTCTTTCTTTTTTTTTTTTTTTTTTTTTTTGGTTTTATGAGGCAGGGTTTCTCTGTATTGTTTTGGAGGCTGTCAGTCCAGCCTGGCCTCGAACTCAAGAGATCCACCTGCCTCTGCCTCCCGAGTGCCGGGATTAAAGGCATGCACCACCACCGCCCGTCTTGTACAGTAGTATCTTTCACTCAGGGATGTTCATCGACAATGTGCCCTCCAGTTCTCATTGGCTGTCACAAGAATGTCCCCTACTGAACAGCTGACACACTATGCTGTGGGTCACAATAATTTGCTTCATGGGAAAACCTTGTTCCCACCACTAAGGCAGGCCACACAACCCATCCACTTTTCACCCAGGGCACCAGCAGCAACTTCGGTGACCATGTGCTTCTCAAAAAAAAAAAAAGCACCAAGTTAGCATGTATTGTTCACTTCAGGAAGTTTCTCACAGTGTCTGGGAAGGAGATATTCAGCTTGATCTTGATGCAGCCGATCACCTAGGAGACACCACAGAATAAAAGAGCCACAGGGTTATTTTTAAATTACATGTTAATGTTTTTCTCCTCTTGTCTGTGTTAGGAAATGGGGTATCTTTGCTTTATCTTAATGTCTGTGAAATCTGTACTCAACATCATCCATGCCAGACAAGTCTCTTTCTTACATTAGGCATTATTTATTACAAATACCTTTTGTTATTTAAATTCATTCAGTTCCTTGATTCACTAGCTCTAGGATGGATATTGTGTTCATGAATTGAGGTCTGACATGATGTCTGAAACTATTTGC